GGGGTGAGACCGCAGCGGGAGGGCGGCCTGCCCGGCCCCCACGCACCAGCCTCCCTGCAGGCAGCAGCTCAGCCTCTCGTACGTGCGCACGAGTTCACGCACAGATGCACACGCTCCCACACAGCAGCTCCTGCACTCACACACCACCTCGTCTGCACACAGACCCGCAGGTGAACGCGCGGTCACAGGTGTTTGCACACTTGCAGGCTCCTGGGCTTGCACAGTGAGATATAACTAACTCACAGGCCCCCAACACGTGACCGGCAGCAGCACGGACGTCCAGGTGCAATGGCCTGTCCCAGAAGGGGGCATGGCAAAGACACAGACGCTCGCTGAGACCCAGGGGCCACGTGCGATGCACACAGAGCCCGTGTCAGGCAGATGGGATGGCAACCCCAGCAACACGAGATCATCACTCGTTTACTCAACAAACGCTCTTCGAGCAACTACTCCGGGCCGGCTGGGTGACCCCGGTGACCACCAGACATGGGCTCTGGCCTCCAGAGCGCCCACGGCACTGGGAGCTGAACGGGCAGCGTGGCGTCATCACAGGCGCACAGGGGGTGGGAGGAGGCTCACCATGGCACCCAGGTCCAGGCAGGGGTAGCGGGTGTGCTCCAGCCCCAGCTGGCGCAGGCTGACGGGGCCCAGGGCGGTGGGCAGCTCAGGCCGCAGATCCATGGCCCACACGTAGCGCAGGCTGCAGAGCGCCAGCCCGTAGAGCAAGATGAAAGGCGAGCAGAGCATAGCCATCTGGTGGCGGCTACGCACGGTCCAGATGAGACAGGCCCAGAGCAGCAGCACGAAGGTCAGCCAGCTGTGGTAGGTGATGCTCCACACCTGGACGGCCAGGGCGTGGGTAGGGCTGCGCAGGACACCCGGCCCGGCACCCACACCCCGCTCCCCCAGGCTGACGAGGTGGTGGACCCCCGGGGCCGGGGGGGGGGGGGCCCCGTGAGCCACAACTACTGAGCCTGCGCGCCCGGAGCCTGTGCTCCGCGACAAGAGAGGCCGCGACAGC